AGCAAATTAATGAAAACCACGGTTCTCGTCTTCTGTCCTGAAGGACGGCCTCCCCTACGCAGCCTGTACTCTACCTGCTCGAAGCCACTTTACCTGTGGCTCCTAGAATCAGCTTCCCTCCTCCCGGTTCCAATGGTTTCTGCTTTTTAAAAATTGATCGATTGATTTTAAAGCCTCCACAGAGGCTGAGCATTGTTCATAACACCAAGGGGGGGGACCCGGCCACTACCTGCTTCTCTCAGTCAGGGGCAAGCGGCAGTTCAGCAGCTGCATGCTCCCCCAGGACCAGGCAGAAAGGAACAGCGTGCCAGTGAAGCAAGGCAGACACAGGTTAGACAGGAGAAGGAACTTTCTGACTCCGAAGACTGTTAGTTCTCCAAAAGAAAAAGAAAAAAAAACAAACAGAGTGAAGTCCAACCCTTTGACCCAGAAGAGATTCCCATCATCTGTGAAGCTCCTAATTGTCTAAAGTCAAGGAGAATCGGACACACAGACACCTCTTTTTGAAAAAACCAATCTCAGAAAGCTGAGCTGTTCATGTTTATCCAGGTGCCGTGTCTCCTTGCTTAATATTCATCCCCAAGCCTCAGTACGCTCAGCCAGGCACGGAAGGAAAGAGGCAGGCAGAGTCTGCTGCCTCTGAGACCCTCCCAGGCACGTGTAGGGTGACCGAGAGAGGGACACAAAATGCTGCAGTGACTTAAACACCTTGGCAGGTACCAGCAAGGATCAGACCCCAAGGAGTGCGTGAGGCCTGGGTTTTGAGGATCGAGTAGGAGTTCGCCCACAAGAGAGAGGAGAAGTGCATTATGGGAAGAGGCCTGTCCCTGGCCGATACAGCCCGGGGCTCCCAGGGCTGCGCATGGCAGGATTTGACCCCAGGCCACGGATCCCAGGCCACTCCACTGGCTCGACCCCGGCTCGGGACTTCCCGATCGTCATTCTTGTTCTCGTTTTGCTAGTTATTCTGCTGCTCTCGTGAGGTAGAGAGGACAAGAGGCACGTTCCTGTTGTGCACAGGACACCCTGGGGACCCCCAAGCAGAAAGGGACCACCGTTTTGTGACAAATCTGTGACGCACGCCCCTCAAGGTTATGTCACCGTCCTGGTCTGTCATCCGAGTCAGTGCTGCAGGCCTCCCGGGGCCGAGCTCCGGGACGTCCAGGCAGAAGGTCAGCAAGGTAGCCGGCGACAGGCAGGAGCTCTGGCAGCCTGGATTCCCAGCCCAGCTCCGTGGTGGGTGACGGAGCCCCTTCGCCTCTCAGACCTGTTTCCTCATCTAAAAAATGGGCGACTGATGATTCAATGAGCCAGTGGACGTGCAGAGGCCCAGCCCAGGGCTGAGCCTCCAGGAGGCATTCGCTAAAGGTAGCTGGAAAGGAAAGAAAATTTTTTTGGGGGGCAGGGGTTCCAGGGATGGAACTCAGGGGGCACTCAGCCACTGAGCCCCATCCCCAGCCCTGTTTTGTATTGATTTAGAGACAGGGTCTCACCAAGTGAGTTAGGGCCTCACCATTGCTGAGGCTGGCTTTGAACTCACGATCCTCCTGCCTCAGCCTCCCTAGCCCCTGGGACGACAGTGTATGCCACCATGCAGGGGAAGGAATGTGGTCCTGCCCTAGCCATCATCTTTTCATTAAGTATCTGCCTTGACTTCTGGAACCTTCTGCCCCTAAGACAAGCTGCCGACGTAGCCATACGTAGCAGGCCCGGCACCGACGTCACCCTCAGAGCCCACCTGGCTGGCTTTAGCAGACCCCACAGGCGCCATGCGGGCGACCTCTCCGGGTGCCTGTGGGGCACCCCTTTCCCCAGGCCTCTCTCTAACCCCCTGCGTTTGGATTCCTCCCTAAGGAGGGTCCCCAGACCCCAAGCTAAAGTGCCATTCACCTCCCCTGGCCCCCCACCTGGCTCAGGCCCGCTGCCCGGTGTCTCGTCCAGCTCAGGGCCAGAGCTGGGCACCCACGTCACTCAATCAAGAGCCCCGCAGCAGGCCCTGCCACCCTGGGGGTCGGAGCCCGAGCGGAGCCGGGAGTGTTTGGGTGCGGCCCTGCTGGTGTTTCCATGTATTCTATAACTGTGTGTTTTAACAGCTGAGTGTCGAGTCGAGTCAAGGCAGCCTGTCCCAGCCGTTATCTGGGTGGGACAAGGACGTTCTGGCTGGGAAATCAGGGCTACTCCTCCGCGTGCTGTCCAGCTGCCGTGCCCCGGAATCAAAGTGTCTGCCCATAAAGGCTGACGGGGCCACAGAGGTCTTTCTTCCTTTTTTTTTATTTTTGCTGAGGGTCCCAGGATCTTAAATCTAAAACTGACTGTGCCCATTTCCAAGGTTGACATGTAACAGGACGCACAGATGGACGGGATACCATGGGGAGACGCTGCAAGACCATGGCAGGATTCATTTTTAAAATGGATTTCTAGTGCGCTTTTACATTCTGGTCTGGTGATGGGATTAAGCTTGGAGTCTGGTCACTTCTGACAGCTGGGGTCTTGCTGGATTTGGAGAAAACATCAACAATCCAGTTTAAAGTCCCCTTCAGCCAGGCACGGTGGCCCACGCCTGTCATCCCAGCGGCTCAGGAGGCTGAGGCAGGAGGATGGCGAGTGAGTTCAAAGCCGTCCTCAGCAACTTAGCAAGGCCCTAAGCAACTCAGGGAGACCCTGTCTCTAAATAAAATACAAAAAAGGGCTGGGGATGGGGCTCAGGGGTCCAGGGCCCCTGAGTTCAACCCCTGGTACCCCCCCACACACAAAAAGACCCCCTTACCCCCTCCATTCCCGAAGCATACCAGGTCTAATTCCCGAGCACCCCGATTCCCCACACACTGAAGCACATGGACATGAATTGATGGGGGGGTCAGAATAAATCATCGCTCACTTCTACACCGCTCACATCATCAAGTAAATAATGAATCACTTTGGACACAACACCTTGAGCACATCACAGGTCCCAGTAAGTCACGATCTCTAAGTGGCAGGTTTTCATTGCATGGACCGGTGGGGACCTGCTGCTCCACGGGTCTGTGGGCCTGGGCCCTGAGCTGCCACCGCTTGGCGCCAGGTTAGCTTGCTGCCCTGGAGAACTGCACCCACAGGTGGGCATAGTGCTGCCCGGAGCCGCAGCAAAGGGCACTGTGTGTGGTTTCTGGCCCCTGGTGTGTGGGCCTGGGCCCTGAGCTGCCACCGCTTGGCGCCAGGTTAGCTTGCTGCCCTGGAGAACTGCACCCACAGGTGGGCATAGTGCTGCCCGGATCCGCAGCAAAGGGCACTGTGTGTGGTTTCTGGCCCCTGGTGTGGGTGGCCAGCTGCCCAGCCCGGCCCCAGCATGCTCCCCTCATTTGGGGACAAGCCCAGCAGGGCAGGTTGCCGTGGCCTGTGATGGAGGACCGTGGCCGGTGCCAACGGTGTGAGACTCGGGAGGCACCAGCCTTGAACAGCTTAGGCCTTGGCGCCCCTGTGTGTGCGCCAGGGCCGCCCGGGCAGCTACCGCCAGCCGGGCAGCGGAACGCCTCACAGCTGGGGAGGCCAGCTTCCGAACTCATGGAGCCAACCAACGGCGGGGGGAGATATCGGAGGGGAGAGACTGCACGGTTAGACACGCAGACCTTTCATCTGGTCATTTTTCCCCATGCAGTTCAGGCTGCGCTAGTTACCGCGGGGGATCTAGAGAGCCTTCAAAGTCCGCAGAGCATGGAGCAGCTCTGTGCCGACTTGGCCATCTAATAGGAGGCTCTTGAGCACCCGGGATATGGCCATCCCGTGGGGGACCTGGACTCCATCCCCTGAGTTAGCCAGCCACCATGTCACCAAATCCCTGACCGGGACCTCGAGGAGGAGAAGCATGTTTGGGCTCACGGCTTCAGAGGTTCAGTCCGTGGCCGGCCGAGCCCATTGCTCTGGTCTAAGGGGAGGCAGACCATCGTGGCGGAAGGGCGTGGGCGGCCAGTGCTGCTGCATTCATGTTTGTGAACATTTCCTGCATCATCACCCGGGCGGCTGGGGGACACCTTATGTCACTGTCCATCTGATCCATGCAAATCCCCAACAAGAAGGTTCGTCGGTAGAGACTAGGGGTCCATGGCCCCCACCGTGCCCTGGCGATCGCAGGCGGGGTGAGTGCTAGGGAGCTGTTTACAGCATGCAGAGGTGGGAAGGGGACCATATCCAGGCCGGTACCCCCTCACACAATTTTGCTTGTGTCATTTGGAGACACAAGCAAAATGACTTAGTGCTGTTCTAAAGAAGGTTCAGGAAAAGACCTCCGACCCCGTGGTATGTGAGCCCTCTGCGGTCAGCCGCTGGGCTCTCCACGCCGCTGGTCGGCAGACCTTGGCTAGAAGGGACAATGTGTTTTTTAATCCTTGTGACTTTGTGGACATCCGATCTTGGTCCCCACCTGTAGTTCAAGAGAAGCCATTGACCTGTGGGAATGCAGGGATGGGGCAGTGTCCCCACAAAACTCCGGGGGACCCTGAAATTGGAACTCGAGTAGCTCTCGCGGATCCCAAGACGGGATTCTCTCGTCCAGCGACATGACTCCTCTGACACTCAGTGACCTCAGAGGAGAGTGACCGTCCTTGGCTCGTGGGCTGTGCAGAAACAGGCCTCAGGCCCGGTCCAGCCCCAGGTTGCTCCCGGATGG